ATTTCACTAGCTTTGCCTGTGGGACATAAGGAAAGATAATGATCTATCCTAAGATATACTAACCTGAAGTTTTATTTATTTATTTAACTTTTTTTATTGAGTTATAGTCATTTTACAATGCTGTGTCAAATTCCAGTGTAGAGCACAATTTTTCAGTTATACATGAACATACATACATTCATTGTCACATTCTCTAGAGTGATATACTAGGAATTTTACGAATTTGCATTTTGAAGAGAGCATCGATGGTAGAAATAATGTAGAGATTTCAAGTTTCTTTTTTCCTTTTTAGTCTGTGCCAGGGTTTTGGTTTTTGTTTTTTAAAATCTGGAGAAGTGCTACTGAATTCTTGCCAAATTGCTACACGCCCCCACGTAAGGGCCATCTGTAGAAAGGTATCTAGGTCATTAGGAGAATTCTGTTTCATAGTTGTATGTTTGTTACAGCAGAATATGTGGACCTTAAATTCTTACAGTGATACTTCGAAAAAGAATTTGTTGATGTTTAGGATTCAGCATTTTGTCCAATCAAAATTGAGCACAGTGTCAGTGGAGAGTGGGAGAGTATGTATTATTTAATAATTTTCAGTGTGGGTACAAGAGATTTGTGATGCTGATCATTTATTAATCTGCTTTCTTTTCAGGTGTCTTAGGGAATGAGTTTAGTATATTGAGATCACCAGGGTCTGTTGTTTTCCGGGATGGAAATTGGCCTATACCAGGAGACCGAATCCCAGACGTGGCTGCACTGTCCATGGGCTTCTCTGTGAAAGAAGTATGTGTATTTTAAAAATATATTTGGAGGGGCTTCTGGAAGCATTTTTTGTTGATTTCTGCTAATAGCCCAAGAAAGCAACAGGCAAACATAGGTACAGATTACAAAAGTAAAAAAGCTCATCTGTAGTCAGGGAGATTTTTGGTTAAGTGCTCCAAGCTTGGTTATGAAACTGAATCATTATAAAACATTAACCATGTAATTGTATATTCATAGTAGTGATGCTCTTTATATATAAAAGAATGCATCTGTCCTACTATTAATAGGGTGTATAATTTTATTGTTTTTTTCCCAGTACACATGATAGATTTGTGTCTTAGCTTAGGCTACTGTTGCAAAGTACCACAGACCGGGTGCTTTGTAAACAACAGACATTTATCTCTCACAGTTCTAGGGGCTGAAGTCGGAGACCAGGGTGCCAGCATGGGAGGGTTCTGGTGAAGGCCCTCTCCAGGTTGCAGACGGCCAACTTCTTGTTCTATCCTCCGAAGGTGGAGAGAGGGTGAGCAAGCCCTCTGGAGTCTCTTTTATAAGAGCTCTAATCCCGTTCATGAGGATTCCATCCTTGTGACCTAGTTACTGCCCTGAGACCCTACCTCCTAATACCATCACATTGAGGGTTTAGGATTTCAATACATGAATTTTGAGGGGACACAAACATTATTCAGTCCACTGCAGTTTGTTATGAATGATACAATGTATACGCATCTTACCTGAGTTTAGGAAAACAGTGTGGTCAGTAGCTGTGGGATAGCCTCGGATCTTGGTTTCCCACAATTTCCCCATAACTGGCTGCTTATGTGATTGTAGCTGGGTGGGGTGGGGGGGGGTCCTGTACAGTCAGTGAGAGATCTGAAAGCTCAGGGCTGGAAGAAAAGAGATGTAGTTTGCTCTAGTTTCCTATCCTCCCACTTTGTAAGTTTGGTGCTTTTGATGTGGCCTCTAGATATCCTTAGTGACCCAGAGGAACATTCTTCCTAGGTCCTGAGGGCCCTTGAAACCAGAAGTAATGCTTGGGAACTGCCTCTCTGCTTGGTCTTTGGGTGGAGCCCCTGAGCTCCTTTTGTGAAACTGACTGACTGTTTAGGTTCAAGGATGAGATTTTACCTAGTTCTTTACGAACTTAAACTTGACTACAAATGGCTGTCAAAACAACCTTTGGAAATAATTACTAATAAACTAATATGAGTAAGTAGACCTAGCGTCTAAAGAATGTTTTAATGGTAGTCTTGCTCTGTCACTGAGAAAGAGAAAAGTGATGCTGTGTATAAGGGCATGTGAGAGAAGAAAATGTCCATGGTTATATGAAGAAGGGAATGTTTCATAATCTGGAAAAGCACCTACATTTTGTTTACTTGCCTGCTTTTTTCCACAGAAGGTTTGAGATGACTTCTTATTAGACTATATTGTTTCAAATGTGTAGAAGTTTAAGAAAATGAAGAAGGTAGAAATCAGCATCCTCAGCTAGGTTGCAGCTACTACCTGAAATAAAAACGTTTGCTGTCCCAGTGAGTTTTCACTGCCAGTGTCATCCCAGAAGCCCTCAGTTCTGCTGCTTAGATGTTATTGGGGAATGGTTTCCTGAGTTGATAATTAAGCACACTTTCATGCTTTCCAACGTTTAGGACCTTTCTTGGCCGGGACTTGCAGTGGGTAACCTATTCCACCGCCCTCGGGCTACTGTTATGGTGATGGTGAAGGGAGTGGACAAACTTGCTCTACCTCCTGGCAGTGTCATTTCGTACCCTTTGGAGAATGTGAGTATTTATTATAAAAACTTAAAGGGGTGCATTTAAAATTTTGTCTTGTCAGCTATCATTATGGATTGTGTTCTAAGCACACTTGTCCTTTACACTGATAAGTAAGATAGTTTTTTAAATTATATGATGGTTGTAAATTTATTGAGACTGGGCTGTTTCCTATGGACGAGAGTATGTACTTTCTAAGGTAAGAGGTAGAGAAACTGCCCTATCTGCCAAATAGTCAGAGGCTTGAAAAAGAGAAACTAGTTGAGGGTGTATCCTGCTGACGTTTTTTGGGGGCATTATTTTGTCACCTTCCCTTCAGAATTTTATCATTTTTGTGTAAGGAGGAGCTGGCTTGCCACCCTTGCCCATGGGACCCAAAGAGTCCCCTCAGAGAAATCAGAACCACCGGCTTGTGCTGTGCAGAGTCGTGTGCTCCAGATTCACACGGCCCGCCCCACACAGACACCTGCACAGCCCAGGGCTCCTTCGGTAGAAAAGAATTGAAGAAGAGTTGAATTTACCAGACACTTTAAAGAAAAAATGCCATGAGAGAGTCAGCAGGCGCAACAAACAGAATTCATCCCCCTAGAACTATAGGTAATAGACCAGTCTCAAAAAGAAATTTGAAAATACATACATTAAAATGTGAAAGATTTAAAGGAAGGGAGAGAAACTAGAGGCATTTAAGAGATATTTTTGATATGTGGTGCTTTCATTGATGTTCACATAAAAATATTTTGTAATTTATATTGATTTTTTAATTAAAAAATTTTTTTAAATGGAGGTACTGGGGATTGAACCCAGGACCTCGTGCAAGCTAGGCATGCGCTCTACCACTGAGCTATTTCCCTTTCCCTCATATTGATCTCTTTAACCCATGAGTTATTTAAAAGTGTTTAACATGTGGGCTCTTTCAAAATAATTTTCAATTTTTCAATTTCTAATTTCATTGCCTTTAAGACTGGTCTGTATGATGCTGATTGGGGAGGGGGGTAGATTTTTTTTTTTAGACTTTCCTGTGGTTTAATATAGATTATTTCAAAGCACACATGACATTATTACAAAAAAATGACCATGCACTAGGTCACAAGGCAAATCTCAATGGATAATAAAGAATCTGTATCATATAAAACCACCCTCTCTGACCACAGTGCCCTTAAAGCTGAAAACAATAACAAAATGCTACCTTAAAAATATGTTTGGAAATGATAGAGATAAAAGATGTGACTCCTCGGGTTCAGTGCACACTGAAGTAGGCTAAAGCCAAATTAGCACCTAAATATAGTGAAATTGAAGAACCATCAAGGACACTGCAAATGTTAAAAGTTAATCAGAGAGAAAAGACACTGTTATGACAAAGGAAAGAGAGGAAAATGATCACAGATTTCTCATCACTGCTATTAGGGGCCAGAAGAGCAAGAAAGGAAAAGCAGTAATTGTACAGTATGAAGCTAGGCTGAGAATACTGTTTAAGTAGTCATAGTGAAAGGATATGGATCAAATGAAAATTACGATACAACTATTGGGAAGGTGGAGAGAGAAACAGTGCATGTGAGGGGCTAGGGCTGTGGTTGGTGATGTGGGAGAGCTAAATCCTCATTTTCTATAATGGGCAGTAAATAGATAATGCTTAAAATTGAAAAATCAAGATGTAATATAAACACATCATTTAGAGATGGTGGTAAGAAGAAAAGGAAACAAAGAATTTGAAAGTGAGTGCTATAAGACAAGTAGGCACCTAGGATGTAATACTTAGCATGATGACTATAGTTAACATTGCTGTATGATACATGCGAAAGTTGTTTAGAGAGTAAATTCTAACAGTTCTCATCACAAGGAAAATTTTCCACTTTATTGTATTTACATGAGATAGATGTTCACTGAACTTACTGCAGCAGTCACTTAACATATATTGTGAAGTCAAACCATTATGTTGTACCATTATGTCATACACCTTATACAGTGGGGGGGGGAAACTGGGGAGGAAAGAGAGTGAGTACCCTCAGAGGAATAGGAAAGGAAGGGAGGGGCAAACTTACTTTTCATAGGAAGCCTTATAAACTATTTGTCTCTTTAATCCACATGTATAATTCTTAATTTTAAAAAGAGTCAGCAAGAAAAGATAGTTGGAATAGATGTACTCTGAAATAATTCATGGGTTGAGAAAAGTACAGCAGAAGTTTTGAAATTATTTGGAACTGAATATCAACAAGTGTACCATATATTACAAAAAATTGTGGGGTGCAGCTAAAATGGTAAGAAGAGGGAAATATATAACCTTAAATGCACACGGTAGATAATTTTAAAGATTGGAAATTAATGAGCTAAAGATCCCAGAAGAATTTCAGAGTAAATGGAAGGAAGGGAACAATAAAAATGAAAGGCATATTAATTTTTTAAAAAATCTTCACAAATATTATTTATTAAGTAGTTTGTTACGTGATTTCTGTGACAATCATTCTACAAGATCCCTTTTAAAATAGTATGTTAAAAATCCAAAATATCACTAAGATTTTCATTAGCCTACAATCCAAAACTAAACATTTTAAAACAGACTAGCCTCATTTTTTTTAATTTTTAAGAAGTATTTATTTAATTGACATATAGTCCATATACAATGTTGTGTTAGTTTCTGGTGTACAGTAGAGTGATTTACATGTGTGTATATATATATATACACACATATACATACATTCCTTTTCATGTTCTTTCTCACTAGAGGTTACAACAAGATAATACAGCTCTCTGTGCTATACAGTAGGTTCTTATTGCTTATCTATTATATATATAGTAGTTAGTATCTGCTAATTCCAAAGTCCTAATTTATCCCTCCCCCTCTTCCCCTTTGGTAACCATAAGTTTGTTTTCTATGTCTGAATCTGTTTCTGTTTTATAAATAAGTTCATTTGTTTCATTTTTTAGATTCTGCTTTTAAGTGATATCATACAGTATTTTTCTTTCTTTGGCTTACTTCCCTTAGTATGATAATCTCTAGGTCCATCCATGTTGCTACAAATGGCATTATTCTTTATGGCTGAGTAGTATTCGTGTGTGTGTGTGTGTGTGTGTGTGTGTGTGTGTGTGTGTGTGT